GTAAATTTGCCCCTTCGTGTTAATTAGCTCCATTGATATTTTGTTATAATATTTTTTAAAAAAAAAAAAAAACCCCCCAAAAAAATCTGCAAAAAAAAAAAAAATAAAAATAATCAAACAAACAAAAAAACTGGTATAAATATATCACATTTTTGAAATGTCAAGATAGATTTGGTAAAATAAGTCAGAAATACATAAACTTATGCAACATTAAATAAAATAAATAATTATAATAATTAAATATACCTTACATTATTTAATTATTCTTCGTTGTTTTCATTATCTTCGTCATCTGTATTCATCGAAATCATTATTGAAACTATCATTGTCACGTATATTAACAACATCATTTTTGTCAGTGATATGATCAGAGGTGTAAGAGTTTTTAGAGGTGGTCGATGAGTTGGTTGAGGTGTCGCTCCTAGAATCATTATTATTATCAAGTTTCCTCTAAACAAAAAATTTTTAATATACTTAGCCTATTCGCAAGTAATATTTTAAATTTAAAATTTAGCATATTTATAAAATTACGAAAACTTACTAATATTTTTTTCATTTGCAATTTTACAACAGTTTCGGAAATTTGTATGTGTTCAATTTTTGGATTTAAAAGGATATTGCAAATGGTAGTGATGTAGACCGTCTGAAGGTGTATTTTCTCCTTAGATCCCCATACTTTATTTAAAATACAAGTTAGGTAGTAGTTTGTTCACCCTCCTATATCGGAGCAAATAATTTAACCTGACATTCTTTTAATTTTTTGGATTTTTTTCAACTTTAAATCTTTGCCAAACTTGTATTTGTATTAATTGGTGGTAGCTGGGCTTCACTAAATACCGAAAATATTGCATCCTTAATTTGAGACGTTAAGATATCATGAAGGCTCTGATGTTGTTTTAATAACTGTTAAATAAAAATCGAAAAAATTAAAATTATATAAAAGCTCGATCAAATTTGAATTTAAGTATGCAAACTTACAGCATAATAAATATTTTTTTTATAAAAAGATGTCCAATACTTTCTGATATATTTACCAAAAAAATCAGGATGGTTTGTCAATACATATTCTTTTGTAATTTCTCACAATTTTTCTTGCGTTAGATATATCAATCTAGATAGTGTCTCTTTTGCTATATTTTTAATCAGATTCTATAGTAAAATAAATCAAAATAAAAAAATATGATTATATAATGCACATCAGTTTTTTAACGATAACTAATATAAAACTGGAATAATATAAAACAATTCCTTACTTTTCAAAAGTTTTATCAAAGCCTATATGCTTTGTACAATCCTCTTCCAACTTTATGATTCTTTTCTTCAGTTTTTTGACTTGCTATTAATGTATCAAGTTTGGTATTAAGCCTCACATTTTGATTTAATATTTTTTCTAACGTTTTTGTTGAAACTTTGTATAAATAAAATAAAACTTATTTTAAAAAAAGTCTATATGCATACCTTTTAAAACGAACTCAAATTTAATATTTTTATATATCTTAAACAACTAACCCGTCGACATTATTATCCTACAAGCTTGAATTTTTTGCTCTTTTGCTTAGTTTAGCTTATTCTTGAGTTAGTTGATTTGATACTTTTTTTCTAAACATTTTAAATTTTTTGAGAGAAAATGAAATGAAAATGAAAAATGAAATAAAATAAAATTAGATTTTATGATTATCGTCAATAAGTTATTTTACTAAAAAAGAAATGAAATGTTACATTACAAAAAAAAAATGTAAAACTTGTTTCGTTTTATAAGAATTTATGCTGACAACTTTTTTAAAAGAAAAGGACAAAAAAATATCAAAAAAAAATTGTTTCGTTATACTGCGAAAATTAAAATAAAAGGAGTTATTTTGTGGAATTAGCAAGCCTTATTTTCAGACTCTTTAATATTAATCAATATTTATCAATATTAATCATTGTAAAAATTTATAAAAAGAAGGGTAAACAAAAAAAATAAATTATTTAAAATATTTAATCATCTTGTCAAAAGACAATTTTATTCGAAAAAAAAAACCCTCTACAATGAAAAAAAAAACAAATGGTTAAATATAAAAAATGTAAATAAATAAATTACGCATGTGACAGGTTAAGGGCTTTTACAAATCTGTGAAAAAGTATTTTTTTTGAAAATGATCAACATGATGATTGGCTTTGAACTTTAAAAAATATTTGCTTAAAACTAAAAATGCGTCACAAACATTAAGCCTGGTACTTGCAGGGCAGTCAACAAATAAATTACATATTTTATTACGTAAAATTACATTTTTATTACACATAATTACACATAAATTACAGATATTATTGCTAATTTTTGCATATTCATATAAATTTATATAAAGATTTTTATTTTATTAAAAAATGTAATTATTAAGAAAATATTTATTTTTACTTTTAAAACGTGGTATTATATATATTATATCTTGTATAGCTTCTATTTCTATAAAATTATATAATTTTTTAATTTGTAATCAAGGACATCTGTGATAATATGGTTAACTCTGTAACTTAAAGTCATACCATTGAATTAATGGCAGATTCAGTAGAGGTTTTTTTTTTCTATTTCAATCTTTGCTATTAATAATACCTTAAATATATTAAAAATCATCAATATATATAGAATATTAAAAAATACATCAATATTTAAAACTAAATAAATATCTGTCTATAACAAATGCCTTGATCAGATACATATTCAAATAATTCTTTAGAATTCATAACAACAGAAATATTACTAAACCAAGAGTTTTGATGATAACTGCTATTTACACGTATTATTGCACCATTTTCCAATATTACTGATATGTATATTATTACCTTTGTTTGAGCGCTGTCTATTTCAGATATTTTAATTAGATCTAAATATGAATCCATACATACTAGAAACTGATCAAACCCAGTCTTCATTTTATCATCTATATTAGTTTTTACTTTTTTTTCTCAAAAAATAAAAATGCATTTATTAACGAAAATTCAAAGAGCTTTGATGAAAATTTAAATGCACGAGGAGTTATTTTCAAATTTGTTGATTGATTTTGCAAGGTTATTTTGGCAATTGATTGGCATCGAATCTAATAAAATATAATCTTTTAGAAAAAATGACATAATATTGTGTATTTTATATATTAAATATATTAAATACTTACTATTTGCATTAATTGGGTTTCAATATTTTTTTATTGCTTAATTGATAAGGGACCTTAACATATTCATGATGAAGGCTTTCATAAGTCTCTGTAGTATATCCATTAATTGCGTCAAAATTTCATATTGAATTAATCACATGATAAATCTATGAGTGTAGTTTCGGAAGTTTTAGCTCAGACGAAGAAAATTGTTGAAAAATTTGGATGAAGTTCTGTGACTATTCATATATAGATTCCTAAAATACACTAACTTTAATTAAATTACAATACAAAATATAGAACTTGTCAAAGTTTTATACATACCTCGAATTTGTTCAAATCGCTTTGCTTAAAAATTTCATATCTACTCATTTTATACATATTATTCTACAATTCATAAAGTTTTACCAAATCTTTATTTGCAATAAAATTTTCACTTTTTTGGTATTTTCTTTATATAAATTATCATTTACAAAAATTATTACTTTCATTAGATTACGATATTTGTTTGCCGTTAATCTTACAATTGATTGTAATCCATTTTAAAATTTTTTAAATTTGTAAATCTTGGTATTTTTACTAATCTACGATCTATTTCATCTACTAAATGATTACTTTATTGCAACTTTAAAAGTTCTCGTGTATAATTAACTTGATATTGAAATAAACCCAAATCAAGATGATGCATTCTATCAGATACTGTGGCAGAATAGATATTTATATTTCTATGATTTAATCATTATTTATTATTAGTATTAAACAAAAATTAAAAATAAAATAAAATAATAAAATTTTGTAAACTTATGGAAGATTTTAAAAAAAATTGGAAATATTTTTAATTAATACAGAATGGTTTGTGTTCTGTTCAAAATGCTCAATCATATTTTCATAGGTACATAGTTCAGTATCATTATCTTATAAATTGATTTTATTAAGATTATCTTTTGAGACTAAACAAAAATGACATGGATGACTTGAATTATATACTTTATATGTGAGACAAAATATTGAAGCTTCAGACCAATCAGAAATTACAACTGAAACTCGGGAAAAAACCAAAATGTTTTGTCAGATATTATCAAATCAATACCATTATTGGATTTTAGAAGATGATATAAAAGTACTTTTAGGAAATTATGGAAAGCTTCTCATACTGCTCTCTTAAATTTGATAAATTTTTTATCAGAATTAACACTTGCTGATAAAATTGTTAAATATTTTAATAATTGTTTTGCATCAGGTTTGTTACGCCACCAATTTTTAATATTACCAATAGTTACATATATAGGATGTAGTTGATTTTTTTCTAATATATTAACGTTTGTTGCATCAGAATATAATATCAAGGATAAAAGTTTTACGCTAATTGGTAAACATTCTTCTGTATTCTTCCACTACATGCCAGTATTTTGTTTGCTATATATTCTTTCTCTGTCAATCTTTAATTTATTTAAACATGATTATTGATATTAATGTGATTAAATGTAAATATTAAATTACATAAATTTAAATAATTACCTCAAGATTTTCAAAATTTAACGCAAAATTTTGCATTATATCAGGAATTGTCAAAATATTATTTATGCAATTTATAAGATTTAGATGATAAAGATAATATTCTATATTATTATAGGTTATTATACAAGTTTTTTGGTAATTTAAATTTGGTTGATTCATATTATCCATAAATCGTCATCCTTGTTCAATTGATTTAGGTAGTGGAGATATAACAAGATTTGCATATTTATTAAAAAATGGATTATTTCATTTCCTATATTATTACTTAATTTATTTTAATTACTAATGTCATAAATCTTCGTATACTTTGTTAGGATAATTTACATTCACATCAGACTCAGGTTCTAAAATATCTTAATTTATTATTAAATCTTCAGATATAATATTTTCAAAATTACTGCTATGGTCGTTACTTAAAAGTAATTCTTCAACAAGCGGAAGGAGATCTTCATATAAACTTTCGTTATTCATCTAAAATAAATGATATATATGTTTATATCTAAATTATATCAAAATACTTTGTTAAAAAATGTACTTCAATAGAATTAAAAATCTCTTCACTTTCTAGCAAAATATTATTAATATCTATAATAGAATTATCACTTTCATTGATGATAGATTGATCGCAAATATTAACATGCTGGCTATACCCTGAACGACTACTAAATGTACGCTCACAAAATGAGCACTTGTAATTAACCATTTGTGATTTTATGTAAGTATGATGATTTAAAGTATTGTTAAATTTATTATTTTTTTTCCTTGATCCTATTTAAGAAGATATTGAGATCTATATATAATGTTTTTTATCTATTAAAGGATGGTGAAATTTAATATTAAAATTAGTATTTCCCGCTAAATGGCTTATATTTACAGATAATTTCATATTCTAGTTTCTATACCGTACCTAGATGTTTCAGGCGAAACTAATTTCGCTGAATTGATTTGCAAAAATATATTCAAATTAGAGTTCGTAGACTTCAGATAGGTTTCGGATCATAGCCAGGCTGAACGTTTCAGATTTTGAAAAATAGTTTCGCCCGAAACACTAACTGTATTGCTCAGCGGCTATTTTTCAAAAATTTTAATTTAATTAAAAAAATACATAAAATAATAAAAAAAATTATAAAGATTTGTGAGATTATGCATTTTATTTAATGCTTATATTTGCGAATGTCTACTTCCCAGAATATTTATTATATTTAAAATAAAAAATATTATTATTATTATTAATAAAAAAAAAATTTATTAATTAAATAAAATAAATTTAAATAATAAAATAATAATAATAATAATAAATGATTTAAAAAAAATTTATAAATGTTTTAATTTTGTGTTACTGCACTAGTTACTGCACTAGTTCTAGCTAGCTCTTCAGTAAATACAACATCTCCAGATAATAATCAACCTCGTGTCATTCTGCTAACCCTATCATTATCATCACTTTCATCACTTTCTTCTTTATCACTTTCCCTCAAAACCTCTATCCTCCGCAATCCTTTTCTAAAAAATTAAAGAAATTTTAATATTATTATGTAATATCATGTAATATTACTTAAAACTTTGTAATACTTACCAAATTTCTTAGCACTTGACTTTTCATAATTTTACTGTTAACTTGAATAATTTCATTGTCTGGATTCAATATAACTTTGCATACGCTGACTGCATATGCAATTTGTGGTTTTGGCATATTTCTTGAATTCAGCCAAAGTTTTTCTAAAATTCAGGACAAATACAATGGACTCCCAGGTTGTCTATTATTGTTAAATGACTTACATAAATTATCGAAGCATTGCTTGACAGAAGCCAATACTTTCCAGTTATATATTTTGGTTGAACTTGCATTAGTACTTATCGGGGTAAATACGTTTTCCCAAATACAGTAAACAAAGCTTCCTTTGTTCTAGAAGTTAGCGAACCTCAGAAACTTTTATCCTTATATGTAAGCTATTAAAAAAATAAATTTATTGGTTATTTAAAGCTTAAATTAATAAAGCAAATTGTTCTAATATTACCTGTCGATCTATATTTTTGTTTAAAAAACCCGCCAGCAGATTTCACTTAAGTTTTCGAAAAATTTACTATAGTTTTTAACCATGTAATCTATCGTAGCATCATAAAATTCATCCTTATTAGAATATATATTTTCGTTAAATAAATTTTTCATGACATTATTTACAATGTCTTAAATAAATTAAATATTAATGGTAAATAATAGTAATATAATATAAATATAATATAAATATAAAGGTTTATTACCTTTGCGAATTCCTTATTTAGATTCTTTTCTTCGTAATCCACCTCCATTTTTTCAAACCTCTCT